ATTTGGCATTGAAAAAAAATATATACAAGTACATATATATGTATGTGGTAAAAAAAATTATTAAATATTTAAATTTTAACGATCATTAATACTCAGCTATTTGAAAACAAAGAACAGTGGAGTTAAACATGCATTAGGATGGAGACATAAAGGAATGTGGATTAAAGTGAGCATATATAAATTTTGATTTCGTTTCTTTCATTTTACTATAGCTATTAATAAAAAGATGTTAATGAATATGAATAATTAATATCTATACCATAAAAATCTGTTGTAGATTTTTGAGGATAAATCATCAATGTGTATATAAGAGGTATTAGAACTTGACGCTACTCGATATTGCCACTCAAATGAAATACAAAAAGAAGAAGGATGATGACTACTTAAAGAGAGAACTGCTAATATGTTTTTGAATCAAGAGCCAGTTTAATTCAGTAACACAATATTAAAAAAGCGGAAACACTTAGTGGACAATGAATAGATTATTCGACCGAATTTTCCACACAGCAGAAAGGGTTAGAATCAAAAATTGCCTTCAATTCTAATGACATCTAAGCGGAATTGATCGTCTTAATTTTAATTATAACTGAAGACTGTGTTTTAATTAAGCCGACTAACTCACTTCTTATAAAGTGATGGCTTGGGAACGTTCATAACTTTGATAGCTCTTGCATTGTCTCATCAGCTTTTTAACACTGCCATTTTACGATGTCTGTAAAAAATTTGAGCAAAACTGCAAAATACTGTTAACGGTGCTTCCCAAAAATGTAAACTCAGTGTTATTATCTGCGTTTAAAGTACACTGGCTTTTATAGCCTTCCGCCAAGTAGAATTCTTTTATAGTATCCAACGCAAGCCAAATTGCAACTACCATATAATCCATTCGTCTTCCACATTTGGGGTGTAAGACACCGAGATTTAATTTATGAAGGATTAAACCATTACATATTATTTACTTAATAATATAATTATAATATTACATTTATATATATAATATATATGTAGTTTTTCTTTTAAGGATTCAAAAATATCATTTTGTTGTATTTCTTCTGAAGTTCAAGATTGCATGTAGCTTCCTTTTATCAAATGGATCTGAGTAAGCTCATTATGATTTTTCAGAAACGAAGACATAAGCTGTCTACTCTTCCGCTAACTATGTGGTTGCTTTTGCACATAAAATTTTTCGCAAGAGAGTAGCGCGAGCAGAGAAAAAGCGAATAGAAGATAGTAATATTTGACTTAACTGTGGTCCGCTAATTAGGTTTACTCTTCTGCTTCTTTGAAGACAACATTTTTTAATTTTAAATTTATCTTTAGTGTAAATTTTTCCAAAACACACATTCGTGATCTTTACTGATTTTAAAATCAACGGATTTATTTATGTAACATAGTAGACTAATTAATTATATTAAATTTATGATTTTGTAATAAAATCTTTGAATAGACAAGATTTGAGAATGTGTAGTGAAAGCAATTTTTAGATAAAATTCTCAGGTTTTTCTTTTTTGATGTTCTTTCAAGTACTTTCAAGTTGATAAAAATGTCAACAGACAATAGCAATGTCAATGGGAAGGCCGCAGCGTCAGCATTATTACTCAGCAGCAATGGAAATAATTTGCTTTTGTGTATTTTAACCACAGCACTTACGAGCAGTTTTTCGTGGTGAAAAAAGTTAATGTTTAAACTCCGCAAAGTTTGTGATAAGATATATGTATATTGATTAACACACGCAAAGTGTTTTTATAGGTTTAGCATATTATAAGCTGCGTATGAAAGCCATAAGCGAGTGACTACATCAAAGTGCGATAGAACATGTCTTATACTCGTATATAAGTATATGAGTATGTATATGTATATTTTTGTGTGTATTTGTCTACTTGCTTATCATCGTTTCTGTAGGCGTTTGCAGTTTTTCTTCTTCACAGTTGCATAATCACAAACGAAGAATGAGCAAAAACGCGAATTTAAGCAAAAGAACCCGTTTTTCGAGCAGAAACTAATCAAAGCGTTTATATTATATTTTGTGCTATTAAGTCACATTTAGCGCTTTAAAATGGCACCAGTAAAGACATTTGCATATCTACATATGTGTGTGTGACTGGCCCGCCACCCACACACGAGGAAGTGAGACAAAATGTGCACATCTGTGTATGTGTATATTGGTCTTGTATCGCACATACATAAGTATGTATATATTGCAAGCTTTCGAACATTATGAGCGCAGCTTAATGTCGGCGATCAGCTCGGCTCATCTCGAATTACGGTTAATTTAATGGCGTCACTAATGTGCACATTGATAAAAATCGCTGTTTGAAGCGCAAAATCTGACAGCTATATTTAGTTTGTTGTTTTTATTGCAATTGTTGTTGTTGCACTTTTGATTTACGCACAATTTCCGTTTCCGTTGTTGTTTGCTCACTCCGCAGCCAAATAAAAATCCAAGAGCAATAAAGTTTTGCACGATGTTCGATGGACTTTGCAATGAAAGTGACGTTGATATATAATACATACCATATACATATGTAAGTATATATGGTATATATATATACATATGTATGTATATGTTGCGCACTTTATTTGCAATTATACTCAATAATTCTTAGACTAATTAGCATGAATCAGAGTTACTTATGTAAACTTATATAGTTATGTATCTAAATAAATATGTAATGTGAATGTATTAATGCAGGAATGTCGCGTATACGCAGCGGTGGATCAATTTGCCAATGTTATTGGTATATTCACTTATAAATTAATTAGATCAAATGTACATACATATTTATGTATATTTAAAAAATAATATATATTTTTTTGCGAAATGTAAGGTATTTTAATTATTTTTATTTAATTATTTAAATTTTGTTTATATACATTTTTTCAAATTTATTGCAAATCAATTCAACATCGTTCCATTAAAATTGCTATTAATGTTAAAGTTAGGGTCCGTTCTCCCAAATCAATGAAATTCTTCTTAAATGCTTCTGCTATTGAAAACTTTTCCATTGCTATTGAACTAGTGTAAATCTTTATACCATAAATAATAAACCATTTTTAAAGTAAAATAAAAATCCATAGAGAATATATAGCGGCTTTATCTAACAATAAATTTGAGACAGACTCAGAAAAAAATCTACCCTCAGCATAAAAATATATCTCATGTAATCATATCACTAAGGTCTCCGACAGTAACACAGTTTCACGGAAGTGGAAGTTAAGAAATAAAGCTATGGAAGCATTAGTAATGTTGTTAGTATTTGTCATTCATTAGTTTAGCAATAGAAAAAATAACAAAACAAACAAAGCTTTATTGCTAAAGACTTATAATCAAATTGAAAGAGACTCTTGGAACATATTCGGTATGTGTATCGATAAGCTTAAGAAGCCGGTAGTAAGAACTTTATTTATATTTTATTATAGCAAAAATAGACATAAAACACCTTAGCAGATTTGTGATGGTTCAGGGCGCTTTGCCGATAGCTAATATTCAACTGCAGGAGTTTTTTTCGTTTGTCTTCTTAAAGGATTGAATATAACAGTCTAAATGTGATCCTTCCGACATGCTTAGGGATCCGCCATATAACTTAATCTTACCTAACCTCAATAGTTAGGTGAAATTCCGAAAAACCAGCACGCATTTTGAGTTTTAAAATATTTTTATCGGTGTAAATCACGGTCTTTGCCCTTACCACAACTTTCCACCGTCTCATTTGTGGTCGTTAATCAGTCCAGTTTCAACTAGTGTCAACTATGATTTATATATGTATGTAAACTACACTTTATTTGGCACATAAACACGCGTGCTCTGACCTATAACTTACAATTCACGTTGCAGACAGGCGTGCACATACACACATGCACACACTTCACGCTGTACATGCGGTTAAATTTAACAGTTACAACAATAAGCAACATTAAAATTTAATACAATTTTAATATGCTGGCATACTTTGTTGTATTGTTTCTTTTTTGTTTTTGTACAGTATTACTAAGCTGTGAACCGTGTGTCATAATTGAAATATATTGAGGCAGAAAAAAAATTAACAAAAATATAACAAAAAAAAACCAAAAAAATTATCAAAAAGAAGCTAAAAAAACAATATTTACCATATACAAAATTTATAAAATACCCAAAATTAAAAATGAAGAGTCACCAAAAAAAATCGCAAAAAGAGATTTTTAAAAATATTAAAATTTTCTCGCACCATAAAAATAGTAAATATAAAAAATAATTCCTTGTATACATAAAAAATTAAGAGAAATAACTAAAATTAAAATAAAAAGTCACAAAAAAGAAAATCAAAAAAATATATTAAATAAATCCACTGTTTTAAAAATTGTGTCCAGCTCCATAAAAATAATGAAATTTAGTAAATTTTTTCAACTCTTTTCTAATTCTCAAAATTGTCGAAAAATAATAAATTAAAAAACTTATTACAAATAAAAAATTACAAGAAAAATAAAAAAAAAAACGTTAAAAAAATCGAAAAATTTTAGAACAAAAAAATTTCAAAAAAATAACTTGGAAAAATGTCCGCTGTGGTAAATTTTTTTTAACATTAAAATTCCGCAAATTCTTTCTTCATCTCGTTTCCAATCATAAACTTTATACCACAACAATAACAACTGTGCCGAAAAACCTTCGAAGACCTGCACTAAGTACACGACTGCTATGGGTATGGTTAAAATGCTTAGAGTTGCCAGCAGCTGTGCTGTGCATTGGCGCGGAATTAATGCGCTAAAATGCCAATTTTAATTGCAGTCAATAATTAGCTGATGTTTTGCGTTGCAGCTTTGAATTTTTATTACAGCGATTGCAGCAGTTTTTCTATTTCAACCAACTACTATGTGCTTAAATGTACTATATACGTATACATGCCATATGTATAGGTCTGCTTGTGTGTGTGTGTGTGTGTAAGTACGCTGCTTTTGAATTTTCCAAACAAAACTCTAAATATTTTTCGCGAGTATTTTTCATTGTAAGCTTAAATATATTCAATTACCTTGCGAATTCTTAACAAATAGCGTTGTTGTTGTTGTTTTCTTCGGAAAAATTTTTGTGTTGTTTTTGTTAATTTTCACCTTTTCAACACTTTTTTGTTTTTTTACCACTTTTCAACAACAATTTATTTGCTATAAATTAATAGACTTTTGTTGTTGTTGCTTTTTTAGTTTGTTTGCTTTACTTAACTTGGTTGTTCTAGTTATTATCATACACTGATCTCAACTACTCAAATTATTTTTTTTTTTAACCATTCAGATATACATATATGTATGTATGTGTGTGTAGAGCGCCTGCACTTGCATATAAACACCGTTCGTTTGTGTATATGCGTTAACCAAAACTGAATCTCCGAATTTGATCTGATCTTGTTGGCCGCTCGTTAACGACTAAATCCAATTCGCATTGAGCCACCGCGTTTTAAGTGACGACTTGAAAACTGCCGCAAAGAATCGGCATACAGCGGCGCAACGCGCTACATTGCGCTTTTACTTTGGTTTAGTGGGTAGTTATGAGCGCGCACATATACAAACACACATAAAAAAAAATCATGATGTACATACATATATACACACACCTGTTTGTGCGATTATGCGCTTATATTATATTTGTGTGTACATTTCATATTTGTACTCGGCGCGTATTGCGGTAAACGCTTTTGTTTGTGTAAATGTACATACATACATACACGCGTACATATGCTTTTGCTAGCTTTTGTACTTGTACTTTTGTAATTTGCATCTCTCATAGACACAATACACCGCTGTACATGCATATAGTGGCATGAAAATGCGCTTGTTTGTATGTTTGTGCGTTTGTGGATATATTTCAAAGGTGTAATTTTCGTGAATTTGCACTGACAACTGTATTAGGGTCGGTCCATTTTGTCAATTTATAAATATTTGTGAGCTTTTAATCAAAAAAAAGCAATAAATTTGCGCGCACGCTCGGTATATTGCATCTGTATGTATGTTTGTGTGCTTTGCGTGGCTGCCGAATCGCGACAGATCGCACTTTGGGTGATGTGAAAATTGTGCTCTGAGTTCGTGATTATTTTCTTAACATAAATAAAAACACAAACATAAAAATATATACATATGTGTGTACAAACTTACATAATATTATATTATATGTTATTGAAAATTACTGAGAAACAATTGAGTTTACGAATATTATGCGATTTATATTTTGTCAGAAATCACAAAAAAAAAACAACTTAAAATAAAACACGGAAAAAGTTAATTTCGGCCGCACCGAATTTACAATAGCCTTAACAGTTGCATTTCTTATAGCATAAAGGGTATAAAAAGATCTTTAACTTGATTTCGACCGGTCAGTTTGGATGTCAGCTAAATATATGCTATAGTGGATTCGATCTAAACAATTATCAAAGCTTGTAGCTTTGCCTTGGAAAATAATCCATGCCAAATTTCGTGAAGATACAACATTAAATCAAAAAGTTTTCCATACAAGAACTTTATTTTTGATCGATCAGTTTGTATGTCAGCAAAATCCATATATATGTAGTGTTCCGATAACGACGGTGCAAACACATTAGCAGCTTCTTAGAGATGAACGGACGTGTGCAAAATTTCACATGGATATCTCAAAAACTGAGGGACTAGTTCGCGTATATCATAAACAAACAGACAGATGAACAGAAAGTCAGAAGGATATGGCTTGATCGATTTATATACGAGTATATGTATATTACTTTAGAGTCTCCTACGTCCCACTACGTGGCAAACGTAATATACCCTGTTCAGGGTATACAAAAAATGTAATAAACTAAACTAATTACCGAGTAGCAGTTTTTTTCTCATATTATACACAGGGTTGCATATTATTACCAACACAGTATTGTTGTTGCAATATCATTACTAATTACTGTGATTTTTCGCAGTATGCTAAGTATTTATACTCACTCTCTTTTGGGCAGTCAATTACACTGCTCGTGTAATTATTAATTGCTCGCAAATGAGTGTACGAGGGCGTATCAATAAATAAATAATATTTGTATAAGTAGAATTGCTAATTCTTAGTAGGCTCTATAGTTAGCAAAATTGTGTTTCAAACTTTTGTTGCGACTGTTATTTGAACTTACCATGATGATACAGACCAATCACTTAAACGTATAAGCTACTGGTTAACCTCACAATATGAAAAAAATTCTTAAATAATAATTTTTGTGTTTCAAGACCGTCTTATCATATAAAATACTTTTGCTTTGGATAAGTCATACACATTAGGGTGGAGCGAAAACATATTTTTTTTGGCTTAGCCTGGGGGTAAAATCTGTAGATTTTAAAAAAGAAAATTTTTGGCCAAAAAAAAATTTTTTTTACACCTCTAACTCAGTTTTAAAATAAATTTTCGAGTTAAAATTTTTATTTCGTAAACATTTTTTGATAAGTGTTCTAGAAGCTGTGGAGAGTCCTCTTTCTGCCCAATTAAAAGTTATCAACTTAAAAAAAAGTTTTGTGGTCATTATTGGAGGTTAAAAAAAGTCTCAAACGACCACATGCTTTCCTTAAGCGTTAAAATAAATTTTGAGTCAAAAACCGTCAAATTCGGTATATTTTATAAAAACGCGAAAAGTGTAAACCAAAAATCATTTTTTTTGTCCAAAAACAATTTTAATTCGAAATCTAAAAAGTTAAAAAAAAAATAATTTTTTTGTCCAAAAATTTTCTTTTTTTATAATCTACAGATTTTACCCCAAACATGGTGTAAGGTTTTGAGGTACCTACTAAAGATATTTGGTTCGATTTTAACAGCTTTTATACCTTAAACAAGATATATTAAGTTTTAAGTCATGACGAAACCGCCGATATCGGACAACTATATCTTTGCCATACAAACTGAACGATCGGACTAAAGTGCTTGTATGGAAAGCTTTTTCATTTGACGAGATATCATTAAGAATTTTGATATAGATTATTGTCCAAGACAATGGAGATAACGGTGCAATCTCCGAAGAAATTGTTCAGGTCAAGTCAATATAGCATTTTGGTACCATACAAACTGACTGCTCAAATTCAAGTTCTTGTAAGGAATATTTTGTGTTTGTGAAGGGTATTATAGCTTCGGTGGACTCGAAGTTAACATTTTTTCTTGTTTGTATATTTATTCAGTTTCCTATTCTCATTCTCGACAAATTTCTTTAACTTCTGGAACTGGAAGACTTTCCGAATGCCTTCGACATTGTTAAATATAGCTCTAATATAGTGATATTGTCCAAAAAGACCATTGGATAATAAAAAAAATCAAATTTAGAGTTTTTAGGTAGGTCTAATGGTCCATTTATGTGAATCAGCTTAAACTCAAATCCACTACCTTAGCAAATTTCAGATCCGTTTCAAACTCTTTTTCGAAGCCCGTTGTGTTAGATCCATTTTTGGGAGTTTTTGATACTTCAACTACTACTTGTCTGTAACTGTCCAGATAATTCCTTCTCGAGGATCATCCTTAACACCTAACCCAACCTGAGCTACTCTGGAGAGATTTCAACGTATTTTTCGCACTTAAATAATACTTACCCCTACGATAGAACCCTTAATTAAAATTGCGCTCACTAAAAATTAAATTTTCTATTGGTTGCCAGCAACCAACGGCATTAAGAGATGTGCGATATTGACATCTATTCATATATGGTTTTTAGGAATTTGGATGTATGTGAGAAGAGCTAAATCTTAGCCAAGTACTGAGAGTGTGCAGAAAATATCTAAATTGACATACAAACTCAAGTGAGATTAGATTAAGCCAAAAATTTCTCCACATTAGTAATTAAATTGTAAGTGAAAAAAAATTAGTTAAATCATATAATAGATTCATAACTATGTAGTATACCATCACATTTTGAGATGTAGGTACATACGTAGGTTCATACAAGCAAATGTGTATACGTTTGTATGTAAGCAAAAGTCTTAAAACGTCATAAAATATTTGCTGAATTCGCAAACGCTTACGTTTATGCCTATAAAATGTATGTATGCACGTATGTATATAAACTGAAATAATATACAAATGAAGAAAAGAAGACAGTTAAAAATCATTATGCAGACGTTAGTGTTCGTATTTAGGGTTCTAGCTGGAGCTGGTATGGAGTACAACACGGCGAATTTATGCGGCATCTATGTATGTACATAAATATCTATATTAATATTAAGGTAAAGAGCAAACGACGTTTGTGTAGTATATTCTGGTAGACCCGAATTGTCCAATTTCAGTCGCATAGTTTTGTTTTGATTGCCTGTGAAAACCGGCCTGTCCGAAAATGTTAGAAAAATAGAGAGAGAGCAATATCAGTCGGTGATACGATGTTTGTTATTGGAGAGGAAATTGCGCAATGAAATCAAAGAGCATTTGGATGCTGTATGCGGCAGCTCTAATCCTTCGTTGGCGACTGTCAAAAATTGGTTTATCAATCGAAACAGCACAGAGGATAACGTGACAAAAGACTACGATCTTGTATTGAGAGACTGCCAAGGAACAGTCGACGCGGTGGACTTCATCTGGTGAACCTGTACAATCAGTCGAATAGATGAGTTCCACTATTTTCTGGGATTCATAAAAAAAGATCTACATCGGCAATTTGGAAAATAGCACAAAAGTCACAGTGCCCTACAATGTCAAATTATTGGTCGTTTTCGATGCCTTATTGCAGAAAAAACAGCTATATTGTTCGAGGAAAAAAGTTCTCATTCGTCATGATAATGCATTTTCAGGTTTGTCATGGTCAAATTGGACAAAATAGCTACGACTTCTGCCCCATCCCCAATATTTTTCAAATTTGGTTCCCTGCGACGTATTGTTGTTCACATACTTGAAAAGTCAAAATTCGACTGAGTAGATTATCACTATCAGAAAACTAATTTTTCAGACGAGTTAAGAAATTAGGATAATCGTATCGATCTAAAAGGGGTCTACATTAAGATAAAATCGGCATTTAAACTAAATTCTCTCTTTTCTTTTGTCGCGTAAAGACTTATTGGCCTAAGATTGTAAACATACAGAAAATTGAATCAGATTGTAGAAAGTTTTAATTCTTTAAATTTATTTCGTTACATTAAAGACTTAAGCTCGTTTCATTCTCACAGTGTAATATTACCGTGAACTGAATGTGTGTGCGCAACGGTAAATGTTGCTGAATTTTAATTGAAATTACAAAATTTTACTTCTCTTAGTGGTTTTTTTGTTGTAATGTAATGCGGTATCGTGATTTAAACTCCTTTTTTTAGGTCGAAACCGAAATTTTTGGTGCATCGTACCTTTTTGGGCATCGCATTTTCGTTTTCTTCTTCAACTGCCATGTACATACGTGTATACAGGTGGATGTAGGTATTTGTTTGGCGTTGCATTTTTATCGCAGAGGTTTCGCCTTTGATGCTGGAAGAGGCGCACAAGCTGGGGTGTAGAAACCTGTAATTTTGCGCCGTACTTGCCAATGCGCACACTCACACGCACCAACCAACATACACACACATCTTATGGTTGTGTCAGCAGCATAAAATAAAACTTGAATGAATACTGGGTCCACATGGCAGCATTGCTCGGCGCACTGGTTCATCATCATTTGGTGGCATCGTAATCATTAACCGTTTGTGTTAGCTGCATAATCAATTGTTTCTCTTTTACTTTTTTTTTATTTTTTAATATTTATATGTGTTTGTTTGTGTCTTTATAGTTGCGCCTGCGCCGCCAGCCGTCGCTCTTGGCGTGTATCATTCATGAGAAGAATTTGTGGTCTTCATCAAATTACGGATACGGAATGCTCACAAGTAGTCATAATGTTGCAGACAAGTGCTGGGGAATGTGTAATGAAATGCCAAACCAGCAACAGGTTAAGCTGTTGGCCAACGCGCCGTTGTGGTACCTTACATTTGTGGCAGAAATTAAAAGGTTAGAAAATTGTTAGTTTCATAGGCGATATTTGGCGTTAGTAAGAACTAATAGTAGTAAAGCCTTTCACTATAATTTTTTTAGTTTTTTTTAAAATCTACCATTATATGTATATAGTTTTTTTGGTGTTCGGGTATGTCTATAGCTAAAATTCATTTTTAAAATAATATAAAATCTCAATTTAAACTGCATTTCAATTCCAATTTTTTCAAACAGATTTGCCAACTGTTATGACATAAAATATTACGTCTTGTAGTTACCATCTCAATATTATAATACAAATAATATTTAAACGATTCAATATGATTTTTTAATTCGAAATGTGATCAAAATTGAATCGGACTGATCCATTAAAGCTGTGCGTGCAAACCGAGGCGATAAAAATATTTTTTCCTAGTGTGATACAACCTTATGTTTGAGTGAAGTTTAATCTCCATATGTCATGAAATTCGTCTGCCGATTTTTACTATGCAAAAAAAAAAGTGACAATGAGTTTGCTTGAAATTTCGTATTTTCAATGGAAACACGGCTGCAGAATCATTGAAAATGTTGCAAAAGTGTTTTGGGCAGTCTGCTTTAACACGAATACCAGTAGTATATAAGTGGCATAAAGCATTAAGTGAATGTCGTGAAGTCAGCGAAAACTTGCCCCAATCGTACATACACCACTGTAAATGACGATAACATCGAAAAAGTTATAGAAACAGTGCTTGTAAATAATCGTGTCATCATCTGAGAGATAGCAGAAGAGCTAACCTCTTATACATATAATATATCGACTCAACACATTTTGGTTAAAGTTTTGGGTATGAAGCGTGTCAATGGTAGACTCGTACCAAAATACCTGAAAAACGACGGCGAGTATAGGTCGAAAAAGAATCAGTCCGAATAAAATTTGATCAGATGGTAAATCGGCTTATGATATAATCGTTTAGGAAACTATTGGTTTTTACTCTGTGGTACAGTTTTGCGCTGAAGTATCAAAAGAGCTTGAATGGATGTGATCAGAATGTGGTTGTGATAACGGTACACACCCGTTAGGGATGATTTATTTAATAAAATGGTCCGATGGGTACATTACATCATTATCTCAAATTACATAAAATAAAGGTGAGATTATTTAAAGTTTGAGAATATCTCAAGGTCATTTTGATGCTAAAGGCATTAACCATTTAATTAGCTCTGCTCTGTCTTTCTCTCCATCTTTTTTTACAGAAAATAGAAATAGTTTTGTACTAATTCACCAATCTGAAAGTAACCAAAAAGAAAAATATTTTCAGATAATAATATAAATAAATGAATAATAAATAAATTATAAACTTATTCTAGAAGTTACTGTTTTATCAAACTGTCCTCGCTTTCGAACTACACTCTAATTAAAACTTTAACCCTATTTGTTTGTCTAAAATAAATTGCTATGATTAGATGATCAGATATCCATGTATATATTTTATTCTTTATTTTGAAATTCTCGCACTTGAAAAATTGTTGCTTTTAACAGTAATTGTAAACCCAGTTGTCGTAATAAATATTATTTCATAGGATAAATATCACGTTGGCAAAAATATAACATCAAGCTGTCGATATGTTAATGAGATTCCGTGAAATCAGCAACGAACAATGTGATTTAACGAATTTGCACTTTATATTTTTTATTGTAGCAAAATCGATTTTAACTGGGCATATAATTCCACATGTTCAAACTGATTGGGTCAACAAATTTGGTACTGACCACATGCCTGTGGACTGACACTTCTCTGTGACGTCGATCGCACATGGAAATACTGTTAAGGCCTTAGCGATGTGTTCGTCATTGAATTTATAATGCAATTAACTACAATAAATAATAACATTGGAAAATATTTGTTATAGCAGATATGTATAAATATATATATGTATATACTAATTTATATATTTTCACTTAGGCTTGGTAATCGTGTTATTGTGGCACTGGTTTACTCGATACGATCGAATAATTACCAATAATAGCTGACACATTAAATTTAAATGACTCACTTATAAAAGCTTTTAATTATAAAAAAAAACTCTTTTAAAGTTTTACTATGGCATTGAGAAGGAATTTTTGTATGATTGTATATCAGAATATCAATATTAAAATATTAATTGACTGACAGACTGCCTAAAATTGTTTTGATCGACCTAAATTGAGTCGCGATTTCAAAACACATTCAAAGCATGATATGCAAATGGATTGTTTTTTGATATTCACCTGAAATTTTTAGTTGACAATCTCTGGCATATCAATTGCGGAAACACAACCTTTCGAAATTAGATCATAATGAACCGATAAAACTGCAGTTTAAAGATGTGATGAAGAATGGTATAAAGGTATTCCTTGCAAATATAGTCGTATCGTCATTCTTCAACGGACTCCATTAAAAGTCCAAAGGCAAACAGCCTCTGAGTGAAACGAACAGTTTAATGTAACAGCAGTTAAAGAAAATTCAACGCCATGGTTCAACAGTTCACAAAGATTATACTTCGTGCGTGACCCATACCAACAGTGTAGGTAATAAAAAGAAAGTTTCATTAATACATTATAAAACAAAACTATTATACTCCGTAGCAACATGTTGCGAGAGTATAATAATAATGGCGTGAATATGTTCGAGAAAACAAGTTCATGAATCAATCAACTACGATCTGATCAATTTATAAATGCAAGATATCCCGATAACGATAAGTGCGTAGAATTGTAATGAACACCCATTTCGAAATACATATCTTCGGCTGCACCGAAGCTGTAATATTCTTCACTGGTGCATTTCTCATAGCATTAAAGTAAGAGATTTTTATCTTGATTTTTAGCGGTCAGTTTGAATGGCAGCTATATGCTAAGAGTATAAAAGGGTCCAATATAGGTGGTTCCAACAAATGAGCAACTTTTTGGGGGAAAAAGGACGTCGGCAAAATTTCAGATTCATATCTCAAAACGTCAGGGTCTAGCTCGTGTATATACACACGGATAGACGAACATGGCTTAATCAACTCAGCTTGTCATGCTGATAATTTACATATACACATATATACTTTATAAGGTCTCTGACGTCTTTTTCTGAATGTAGGTAAAACGATTTCTACAAATGTTTTGTACATATGTATAGCAACTTTGCAGTCGACTGTATGCTAATTGAGTTGCTAACTATTTTCTCTATTTAATATGGTGTTTATTGCATAATTATAGGCGAGTGCAACCAATTCATTCCTTAGAAACTTCTTTTTTTACTTCTCAAACGGGTAACGCAAACACGGTCTTTATAAAGCCATGTAGTTTTTTACAGTTTGAAATTCAGTAGCCACGTCTGATGTAGTAAAAAAAGCTGCGGTACTGAAGCCTTATGATACAGTGCCCTTCAATAATACCAGTGAAGAGTGATGATTTCATATCCACTTCGAAAATAGGTGATTTTCTAATGATAGATTTAATGAACTATCAGGAATAGTCATAGTATGAAAAATGTCTTTTTAAAATATATGAAAGGTTATTATTCATACTTTGTTTATTTACAGTCCGTGTGAAAAACTATTAATGATCTCCCACACTGATTAAGCGACATACCTATTCCTAAGTGCATTAGGGCGGAGCGGAATTATATGGTCGTTTTAATAAAATATTTTTTCAACGTGTTATACAAAAGTATGATGTTTGCATATAGCTTAAAATAAATAGGATAGGTATAAAGTTGTACGTGAAAAGTTTGTTAGGCAATTTTTATTATGAAAAAAAAAAATGAACAAAGTGATTTATCGAAATTTTGTGTTTCCAATGGAATCACGGATACTTAGTCACGAACACAAGTATTTGAGTGGCACAAAGCATTGAGTGAATGTCGTGAAGTCATCGAAAACTGGCTACATGCTTTACACATTTTGGTTGCTGTTTCGGTAAATTTTTTGTTTCTGGTACCAAAAGACCTTAATCTTTTGCAATAACGACGTCGAGCAGAGATCGTGAAAGATATGCTTGACAACGTAGCTGAAGACCTTACATTCATGTCGTTGAATCTATCCAACAATCTATCGAGTGATGCTCAGAAAATGAACCGAAACAAAGATTTTGAAGCCACTGACAAGGCTAGAATTGGATTAAGCGTTCGCATGCATTTATGACCTCAAAAGTTTATTTTGATGACAATAATAAAGACTTGTAATAAAATACGTGAAAGTGCGAAATATTTTTGTCAGTCCGCGTCAAATTTGATCAGATGTTATATCATTCTACGGAATAACGTAGAGTGAGAAATCTTTATCAATATTTTTCTAAGTATAATTTATGTATATGAACAACATTATAATTTTTTTCCAGATGAAGATCAAAAATATTTTCACTCCACCCTAATGTTAATGTAAAAATTGAATTAGCTATAAAAATAGCAAAAAACACAACAATAATATATTACGAGTATCAAATGAACGCAGCATATGAATGTATGTATGTATGTAAGGTAATTTAGTGGAAATTTATGATATGCAATCAGTGTAATTAATTAATTTACTTACTTCATGCACAACCATGTGTAAATGACAGTTTGCGCGAGCACGTACCTAGAAATGCTTTCCTCAATTAAAAGAAAAAAATGAACAAATAAGTAGAACAGCTAAACAAGTGAACGATAATGAACGTGACAATCAACTGGTGTGAGACCTCGAATGCCAGGCATGATCCCCATGGAATTTCTCGTTTACTACAAATTATTAAAAAGTAAAACCGTGAAAAAAACAACAACAATTTCGTTTAGAAAAATTTGAAATATTTGTGTGTGAAAAAATAATGACAACAAACAAATTTTGCTTTGAAAAATATTGACAACAACAAATAAATTAGCTTTGACTTGTCTGCATGTGTGTGTGTGTGTGTTTGCTAATAAAGCGGCACGTAGGTGGGACTCCATACACGCGCAGCGAGGCGCACTCATACGCCGCGTAGCACCGTCTTGGCTGTGTGAATATTCGCCATGGAATGAAGGTGGGTGGGTGGTCACTTTATGCGCCGTTTATGACAACAAACACGCACACGCACAAAAATATAATACACACATATAAAGTACAGTTAGTTAGTTTAACGAGGGGATGCTAAACTAGCGAAATAGTCCAAAATTAAGTGCAGCTTAAACGAACTCACGCCACCTAAAAATGTCAAGAGCCAATGAGTGCCGGTGGGCGACTTACCGCTTTAAATGTAGGGGGTTGAAGAGAGGATTTCGTTTATAAGCCGGTTTAATTGAATGATTGCCAAGTATTTGTTCTATAACAGTTATGCTAATTTTGGACAAAAAAAAAAAATTAAAAAAGTTTTATAGTTTTATTTTTGCTTGCGTAAATGCTCTCCTTGCGGTTCGGTGTCAAGTTGTAGGCGTCAAATGAGGTAATGTTGGGCGTGTCAATGATTGTGTTTATTACTATTATTATTTAGTATTCACGATGCACTCCATATTTCAAAAGCGTAATAAATTTAATAGAGATTTGTGTTAGTAAAATTCTATTTAAATACTTACGTAAAAATACCTTTAAACTATACTTAACAAAATGATATAAAATTTTTATATATTAAGGCAAACGGTGGATGGGGTCTCTTTTCAATACATGGACCGGAAAATCTTTGGTTTTCGGTGAGTTTCATGAGATTTCAATCGATTGTTCTCAAGTTATAAGTCTTAAACACCTGCTTTATTTGTCTATAATGAAAACAAGAAAAACATTACCGTCGGCTGCCCCGAAGTTATAATACTCTTCCGAGGTACATTTCTTATTGCAAAAAAGGTTATAAAAGATCTATATCATAATTTTGATGGATCAGATTGTATGGCAGCTATTTGATATCATGGTTCGATCTGAGCATATATATATTTATATATATACTTGTGAAATTTCTCTAATATACTTTGAAGAATATTGTGTAAAATTTTTATGGAGAAATATTAAAAAATACGGCAATGGCAGCAATTATTCGAAAGTGTCTCAGAAAAAAAGAGTGTTGTGGCGCTCCTCATAACTCGGGGCTGGATCATTCGAGATCGAAAAATCAAAATTCATTCGTTAGATAACACTGGTAAACAAAATTAAACTTTTTTTGAAGTTACTAAACTTTTTCTTACTGATTTGACGTTGCTGATTTCAAATGTACACTCAATTTCTTTGTACCAACTCTAGTTTTACTGATACAGGCACTTCTTGAACTGCCGTTACTCGGCTTATCTGAATTAATTTTTAAGACAAAAAATTACTAAATTTCATAAATAAACCGCTATGTCTATTATTGATTAAGAAGAACTTGTTGAAATAGTCTGCATAGTTTTTGTGCTTTTTGTGGTAACTATATGTTTAGAGAATGCCGTTTAAATGCGTCTGATACTATAAAAAAGGCCTATTTGTACTACTTCGAAAATAAAATAAAATACAACAAAACATTGGCTGATATGCGTCGATCTTAAAATGGTAAACTTTCTGTGCGTCAAAAAGGAAGATATACCAAATACCCATGTTTCATGTGCTTATGGGATAGCCGAACGAAGACAGAACACTGGATTAAAATTGCCGGGTATATGAATGTGATGAATACCCCTCTGGTAGCCAGATAGCGCATTCTTTTATCCTCTCTTAATATAAAGTTAGGTCTTATAAAACAATTTGTAAAGTTTCCAAATGAAAGTTCCATATGGAAAATGTTTTAAATATATCAGTAAAATATTAAAGCTGGCATTTTTGACTCAGAGAACGTATACTGATTGTATAACAGATAAGAAGAAATCTGCATGAATTGAGTTTATTTGGGTTGTACAAAATTTCTTAGTAAATAAAAAGTCTCCAGATTAAATTCAACACAT